TCGTTCAGGGTCTCTAACCATCGGTTACTATTGTCTCACGGACACCAACCAGGTAGTCTACATCAACCAACATAACTCAGTTCACTTTTCAGTGACTTCATCAACGTGTGCCACGTTTTGGTCTCGCCGACACTGCTGTAAAAGTAATTAACCATTGACAATTTAACAGAAAAACTAGTTGTTAACTTTCATAAGTGCTCTGATCGTAAGCAGACAACTGCAATGGTTGATCTGTTCGGTTCCATTGAGTATCTAATTCAGTTTGCAGTTTATTCTTTATTGAGTAGTTTATTGTTCATAAAACAATGACAGAGAAACTGATCATTTTCTATATCACATACAACTTCATTTCCTTTGTAGAATGAATTCCTATGCACACTGATGCTCCTCTGAACTATTTTAGTGTTTACCATTGAATCATTTTGTAGAGAATTTCAATAACTAAATAAATTACAGTTGATTGACAATGCTTTTGCTACACACTTCATCATATTCAAGTAATTAAGAAACCTGAAATCACATCTCACACTAAGGCAATATCATAAATTAACAACTACGTTTGATTGGAGTTCTTTTTGTGATTTGTGAGTTAAAAGATTCAATTGATCTTTCATCCTTTCAACATTTAAAGAAGATGGTGACAATAGACGTCTTGTGAAACCAAACGAGGAGAAATGAATCACCAACTCATCTACCACTTATATCCAAATTACGCTGTAAACTGATAAATAAAGAAGGAAAGTGAGAATATGCATCCGCGAATATAAGTTACATTATTTATTTCACAACCTGAAAGTAAATCATTCATGACAAACACGTCCAAAAAAAAATTAATTATCAACGAACATTCATAAAAAATGATAATAATCGAATGGTGAGTACGGTGACCGGATTCCACCATACTGACTACAATTATCACAAGTTTTCAAAAGTCTCAATCAAAAAAAACTATCAAACACACTAGAAGAATTCAATCTGTTCTATGTTGATGATGATGACAATGTTTATCATATTGTCAGTAACTTTTAAATTGCATTATGGGGTTGTGAAGATTGTTCAATTACTCAATGAAATCATGAATTGATCAATGTTAGAGTTTAGTCGTTCGCGAATCCTCAAAGGTGCAACGAGTCGTGGATGTACACTGTCACTGATGAGTCCCATACCAAGGAGGAAACGGTTGTTTTTCTGTGCTTCTTGGTTTCTAGTGGTAGTTATCTAACATCGATCGATTCATGATTTCAATGAGTAACTTTTCAATTATCATATCACATTACACACACATACACACAGACCTGCTAAACTTGCATACAAATGTAAATTCCATCATTGACATTTTAGAAACATTTTTATCTTAAATTATCTAAACTAACTAAACTAAATAAATAAAATTACTCTTCAATTCATTCTGTCCTTAAATAATTCATCTTATTTATTGAAATTAAGTCAATCGGTACATTAAAATTGTATTCTGATTAAAAATTTCTACGCAACATTCAAACATTAGAAATGATCGTTTCCAACAATGAACTACATTTCTATACATATGCACAATGAGATTATGCTCACGTTGACATGAGTACACAAAAGACTACCACTGTCATGTTTATCATTACGATCATGAGTAGTAAGCTACAATGTGTGTGTACTACAATTATCCGTTTGGATAATAATAATAATAATAGAAAGCAAACGATATGACCTTGATGGCAGTAGTGATAGTAGTAGTAGTATTAAGCGTCAATTTCAGAATAAATAACCAACTAGTTCAATCTATTTTTCTAAGGTATCAAACTACTACTACTGCTACTGATTATTATCTATCTGATCGATCGATGAATCGATCACAACGATTAATTGGTGATGAGCTGATTACAGACAAAATAACAATAATCTACCTATATTCCACCCATCATGATTGTATACGCTTCTTTCTAATATATATATGTACATATATTGATTGACATGAACCACACAATAACAAGTAGATTCTTCAAAAACAGAAAACATTCTTGAGAGAAGAAAACCACATGACAATTATTGATGATTTAGCTGAGCGTAGTAAATTCGCCGTTCCAACTAAAAGTCAATAACGATGAGAGTAAATTGCAATTAGCAATCAAATATATGATTGATTCAAAACTGTATACTGAATTGTAGTATATTACTTGTATTGTCGTTCGATTCAATTATTAATATACACTTTTATGCATGACCAATTCAACTAAACAGAATGATAAAAGAAGACAAGAGATAAGTGGGAAAAAAACAATTCGTGTTTTTCTGCAGCAAATCTAATGAGGTGTTCAACTTTGCCTTGCTCGAACAAAACATCCTGATATGAATGAAACTAGTTAGGTGTATAGCTTCTAATGATAACACAATTAAATTCGATAAAACTCTGCATAAACTCAAACCACTTCAAGACTGCTTCACAAGTGATTAATGCATACAAATATTCCATAATGGAGGTGATTGGTTGTAAAACTGAGAAAATATATAACTCGTCAGTGGAAAGTACGATATATAAACAATCATTGCGTACATAACGATACATATTAACACACTAAAACTTATATCTAACGATACACTGATAAAGAGTTAACTTGAAAGAATATTTGTTAGATTACATTCAACCGATTCCAGGCTTGTACACTGAGGTTCCTTGCATTTGAATATTCAATGTCTCACATAAGCCTATCATTTGAATAATCAAAAAGTGTTTCCACTTTTATTAAGTCACAATATCATTGTTGAATTTTCGATTGACCAGATTCAGTTAGTCTTTGTGCTTGTAAATATGGAACGCATTCTCTAGAAAACTACAGGTGAGAGTATCACATTTTGTTTGATACATGACTCACAAGCAACGAACAGAATCACAGTAAACACAACACAATACTTCATTCGACACAATTACAAGCAGTCACTATCAACGAGTTCAGAGTAGAAACCAATAACAGAGAAGCAAATCACATACTTGATGGTCAGTAAGCTCACACCCTTTTTGTCTATGCTCAGTGGCCAATCATATTTGCTTTCACTACAGCACAAAGTGAGTGACCATTAATGAAAGACAACACTTCCTTAAATCTTGGTTGTAATACTGAGGTCAACATGCACTGACAGATCATCAGACGATTAACACACACCAATGAGACTCACGTTGAACTGCACTATTCCACTGATGTCGCTGAAAACGGAGTATTGAGAACTAAATTGCATAAAATATTTTCGGTCATGCAGAAACCAAAAACAACAAGTTACTCGAGAACCATATTCCTTACGATGAATCTAATCGACTATATGAAACGTTGATGAAATATAAAAGTACAGTTGTGCGGCAGATGTCCATCTTGTACATGCAGAACGGATAACTCTGCGAGAATCTCACCAAGTTTCTAGAACGTAGAAGACAGTGGACCAATCTGTTGATAACTTGACGCCATTTACTCATACATATGGAACGACCGGACGTGTTATCACTCATGTAAGAGCATGTTGACAACCATGAACACGAATTCGACTAGAAGACTGTCACAATCCTGAAACGAGGAGATTCAAAGGATGCCAACATCTTCCTGGAAGTTTAACGTCCGATCCAACTCGTAATTAGCATCTATGGCAAACAGGTCCTATTCACCGACCCATACTGGAAACCCCAGTCAATCGCATGACTAGAGATCGACCGAGCAACACACACAACAGAAATACAAAGAACAACAGAATTGGCAAGACCAGAATACATTGATCCAACCCACATAACCAGCTCACATCCAACCGCTGACCACACCAAAAGTGAATTTATGCTTGATAAAAAACTGAAAGATTCCTTCTCAGCACATTTAGTAACATCGCACTTCCAAACGATTTATCCATCAGTCAATCACTAAACTTACATACTATCTCGCTTGACAAAACTAGACTAGGAGTGTCAAAACACACCGATTTTCGACTTAAAAATTAATTTATATTGATGATGAGAAGAAAAAGGCTATTTGGTTAAGAAACACAGTTTACATCATAATACATACAATACAAATGTGTTCGTCTTGTTTTTTAAAAAAAAGAGGAAGATTAAAACCTGAAAAATCGACTTCTAACTAAAAATCAAGTTCATTCTCAAATTATTTATATTACAACTTATTTTATAGTGTTAGTTCAGTTAACATCCGGCGTAGTTCACAAATAATACACAATCAATATAAAATGAAATCCACAGTGGGAAGAAACACAGTTCACAAAGTCACACAAAACAACTTAGTCGGCACCAACATAAAAAACAAACGATAATTTATGCTTCCTTTTTTTAAAAAAAAAACGATGCTCATAGACAATGAATGAATAAAGGGAAGAATAGTGCTATGAAAATGAGTATGTGCGTATGCGTTACGATTATTATTATTGATAGATATTATACAGGTCAATTGAAAGATTTCAACTAACTCAAACGAACTAGAAAAAAAAACACACAAGGGTGTACATACACAAAAATAACAAATCGAGTCAACAATCATACAAGTGTTTGCAATGATGATTTTAATGTCGCTATGGTTGCCTCCAATTTCGGGGTAATTAACGCTACTTATACTTCATTGTCATCGATCGCTTTGACTCATCATCTATCAGATGTTTGTGTGAATGATAAAACAGGGAGTAACTGAAACACCACTGATGCTAAGAGTACACCACTCGTTTCTACTTCTTCATTCTCTCTTTCTCACACACTCACACACACACACATGGAGGCAGACAAGCGAAAAGTGAACAAAACCAAAAAAATCAGTACAAAATCGATAAGTAGGACCAGTGACAACTGATTCAGTAATTGTTAAGGTCCAAAATAAGAAAGACAACAGCGACCATTCATAGTTACAATCACATCATAAACACATTTCATCATTGAGTTTTTTTGTTCAGTTACTGATAACGATCAATCAATAATATTGACAATAACAATTTGCAGAAAAATAATCGTTCAATTCTTTTCATAATAAAAAACGGAAACAAATTTGAGCTTGATGATTTGCTTAGTTTCATCAACTACAACACCGTCGTCCAGTGCTTGAATTCTCCGCGTTCGGTGAAACGATCGGTTGATTATTATATGGAGACATTTTCATATCGACATTACTCACTGAAGGATTTGAGCTGACAATCGTATAAATAGCTAGATAATATATACATGTATAGATAAAATGTAAACGGTAAATAGACGAGTAAGGCAACAAATCAGATATTTCATAATTACATGTTAAATTTAGTAAAATATCTGTCAGTATAACAGATCTTGAAAAGTAGACACATTTTAATGATGCATGATAATAGCTATTAGCTCTCAGAAATCATGTGTGAGTATTGAAAGACTACTACTAAACGCTTAATTGGTATAATGTGATCAACAGCAATAAACGACTAGACAAATATGATAGTGGTCACTCCCAACCGAAGCTGCTACCTTGACGTGGTGACCCGGCTTGCCTATTGTCATGACACAACCGAGCTCTATTGGCTGGAACAGAGGTTTCTGAAGGTTCTACCATGCCAAGCAGGTCGATTGCAGAACGATGAGACTAAAAGCAGCTACTCGTGGTCTGAGGGCGAAGTCGTACTGCTGACTGCAGAGGGGTGTGACAGTAGAAAGGTGTTTCCCTCGAACAGCCGGCATCTGCAGCGATGCTGCCTTCTCACAAGGAAGGAAGGGGTTGGTAAAGATAGACCCTAAAAATGTCACACCTCAACCTACCTCACGGATTTCCGTCTCCAGCGGGTAAGGGTGCCCATTAAGGGCTTTCAAGAGCGGAGCTAATACTCAAAAAACCATTCTTAAAAAGGCCGTGCGTGACCGGCCTCAAGCAGTTGTTCTTTGGGCTCTGCGGTCACGCACCCAGGTCTCTAAGACCAACGCTAATCTATCTTCCTTTTCAGGTTACTCAAGAAACAACCTTACACGGTGTGAGCAGTCGGGAAGTGACAACCGCCCTCATACCCGTAACAGCACACGAGACCACATTGGTCAAAATCAAATACTTCCTACACCCCATAATACCTCCTCTCTTATCTCCACAACTAATTCTTCTCACATTCTTTTATCACACTGCACAGCTAATGCAAACGATGCGAGTTCACGAAACGTCATTTCTGGTCTCCTGAAACCCCGCTCTAGACTACATGTTGGAGCAGTTGATGTACGTACATTATGTCAAATAGGGCAACAGGCTTCATTAGCTAGAACATTAGAATCTCGCTCAATTGATGTATGCTGCGCCACGGAAACGCGCATACAGGATCCTGGTAAAGTCATTAATCTGATTTCAGGGGTCTGGCTGGTGTAGGTAGAGTATTGAGTCATTGGGCAGAACTAGCTCTCCTAGACTGGATCTCTGTAGATAGTCGTTTGTGCGCCGTCCAACTGAACGGTACAGTAAGGACTCGGAAAGATAGGGACACTTGTCGTGGCCTCTTCGTCGTATCTGCATATGCCCCTACTGACTGCAGTTCAGACGAGGTTAAAGATGAGTTTTACAGAAAGCTTTCAGACCCCTTCCAAAAAGTTAGGCACTCTGATGTAGTAATAATGGCTGGTGATTTTAATGTTCAAGTAGGTAGACTAAGTGAGCAGGAAAGAAACCTGGTTGGATCTTACGGTGTCACGGCTCAGAGAACAGACAATGGCGACCGCCTGTTGCAACTGTGATCAGATAACCAACTATTTCTAGCAAACACTAACTTTAGGCATAAGGAAAAACATCTCCTGACCTGGCGACCTACAAAGTCGTCTCGAGGTTGTACCCACCTAGATCACATAGCCATCAGCCACCAATGGAGGGGTTCGATAGAGGACTGTCACTCGTTCTGAGGCACATGTTTAAATTTAGATCATGCCCTAGTGCGAGCTTGTATCTGTTGGAGGCTTACTGGGCGTAGGAAAGACACCGTAAGGAAGCCTCTTAGGGTTTTACTTAATGATAATAAAGCTAGGAATATGTTTAAGTAGCAACGAGAAAGAGAGTTAGGCAACCATGTAAGCGATTCCCATCCAGAAGCAGGTTGGTATGATATCAAAAAGGCTGTGGAAACAGCAGTGATATCTGCTAGTAAGGTAAACCATAAGGCTAGGATGAAGCCATGAATCTCCGTAGCATCTACAGAACTGACGGATGCTCGAAAACACATCCCGCCTTGCCCTGAACATGATGAAGAAAAAAGTCACCTTCGGGGCAGGCTGATAAAAAGCCTACGCAACGACCGTGAACAGTGGTGGGTGGCGAAAGCAAAAGCGATTAAAAAGGCTGCGGCGATCGGCAACAGTAGGTAACTATTCAGACTCATCAGGGAAACCGCTATTAGGAATCCAACTGTAAGTGCGACTACCGATTTAAGTCCTCCGAACCGTTATGAAGTTGAAAAGGCTACAGGAAATCTGAAGAGAGGGAGAGCATCAGGACCCGATAGATTGACTCAAGATTTTCAAGGATGGTGGTCCAGTTTTAGCAGCTAGATTGTCTGAGATCTTAGGTAGAATCTGGGAACTGGACGCAATCCCATTTGGCTAGTCTCAATCCCTGACTGTCCCAATTTATAAGAAAGGACAAAAGTCTTCTTGTGACAATCACAGGAGAATCAGTCTAACTAATATCGTTTCTAAATTGTTAGCCTTGATAATCCTTAGACGCCTAACTAGTGCTCGTGAAGAGGGGACTAGAGAAAACCAGGCTGGTTTCAGACCTGGACGTGGATATATAGACCACATTTTCACACTGGAACACAGACACACATATAGGCGTCTTACAATAGTTGTCTTCCAGGACCTAAAGGCGGCAATCGACTCTGTTGATCGTGAGGTTCTGTGGCAGTGTCTATCATTCAAAGGTGTACCAATAAAGTAGAATAACCTTATACAAGCTCTCTACTCGAACACTACAGGACAAGTGAGAGCTTATGGTGAACTGTCATTGGAATTCTTTACCTCAAGTGGTGTCCGTCAGGGATCTCCACTCTCTACATTCTTGTTTCATTTTGTCACAGACATGCTCCTAGAAATAAGCTTATCCTCGTCCGACTTTTCAGGAGTTGACGTTCTACCAAGAAAATCGCCTACTGACCTAGAATATGCCGATGACATAGTTCTATTCGGTGAAGACGCTGACAAAATGCAGAGTCTTCTGATCACCATAAGCAACAATACAAGCATATTCGGGATACGATTCTTCCCCTCGAAACGCAAAATGTTGCTTCAAGATTGGCTTGCGACTGACTTCACCGGAACTAGTGATAGGGAGTGAAGTAGTCGAACGTGTAAACCGCTTCACTTATCTGGGGAGTCTCATTAGTGTTGGTGGCCTGGTGACTGACGAAATCTCAGCACGGATACAGAAGGCTCGATTGGCTTTTGCCAACCTGCGTCACCTATGGCGCAGGCGAGATATCCGCTTGCTAACCAAAGGACGAGTGTACCGTGCAGCAGTTCGTTCCGTCCTACTATATGGCAGTGAAACATGGCCGTTAAGAATAGAGGACTTTCGTAGGTTACTAGTCTTCGATCATCGGTGTCTCCGAAGCATTGCTCGTGTATCATGGGACAACCGTATAAGCAATGCTGTCGTTAGGAAACGAGTTCTAGGTAAGGATGGCAAATCAATAGATGAAGTAGTGAAACTTCATCAGTTGATGTGGTTGAGACATGTGTTACGTAAGGCTAACCACCGACTGCCTCGAAGAGCTTTATTTTGTAGTGTAGGAATAGGTTGGAAGAAAGTTAGGGGCGGCCAAACCAAAACATGGCAGAAACCCATGAAGTCATTAACGAGTGGACTTAGCCATGTCGGTAATTGTCGACTACCTGGTTGGGGTCCGCGAGATGATAATAATCGATGATTAGAGACCTTGAATGACATGGCTCAAAATCGTTCGCAATGGCGTCAGTGCATTTATTCTTTGTGTTCTCTCTAATTCTAACCTGAATTCCTCAGAATCTCTGTCTTTCTCCTTCTAAATTTATCTCACTGAATGATTTCGAATCAGAACTTCGCTCCCTAATTTTCTCCATTACTGCCACAGCTTCACAATTCAATAAGTGAATACTCGCCCCTCACTTTCACAGTTACAAACTAAATGAAGAAGCTTGTATAACAACATGAAATCAACTAAGAAACAAAACCAAATTACCTTATATTCAGATTCACACTATTCTTTCATGTGCTAACTAAGATGAAGCTTTTTCATTCTACAGATATTTTTTATTCGTAAATGTATTTGGCCGGCATAAATCAAAAAACTCAGATAAACATTAAAGCTTGGAAAAACTACAGCCAGGTGGTAATCAGTCTATGGACTCTATGAAAACGATAAACTAAGAAACATCATAGCAATAAAAACTAATTTGCTGAGTTCAATTAATGTATTCAGTCAAAATTCAACTCATCATATGCTTTAAAATATTGAACTAACTTTGAAGAACCGTATTGAAAGCATTTTCAACGTTTGCGGAATCTAAAGCTGATGTTTCAATGAAGCAAAGTCCATTACGCTCAGCAAAATTCTTCGCTTCTTCTTTCGATACATTCCGGAGATGCCTAAGATCAGACTTATTCCCAACTAACATGATAACGATATTCTTTGCTGCATGGTCTGCTAGCTCGTGTAACCACCGTTCCACGTTATCGTAAGTCGCACGTTTGGAGATATCGTAAACCAAAAGTGCACCAACAGCACCACGGTAATAACTTCAAGAAAAAAAATGGAAAAAGTTAATGACACTTGGTAAAATCACTACTCTTCTAAAAACTTCAATAATTAAAGTGAACCAAGATGAAGCCTAACATTTCAGATATACTGCAAAATGTAAACTTACCCATTCAATAATATTTATGAAAGTAATTGGCCAGATAAACTGATGTGAACGCCACATGAAAATGAAGACCAGATCTTTGATTGCAATGCCAACAACTCATTTCTACTGGTGTCAAGTTTTGCAAGGTTAATTGAAGATGTATCAAAAAATCACACTGTTGCTCATTCACCACCAAATCTAAACACATTTGTGGAGTACAAAATTAAGGAACTATGCGAGCACTAGATGAAGTTGGCAACAAATAGCGAACTTAGTAAAAACCAGCTTCAGATTCTATCATCGGAAAAGTAGTTTACAGGCTACAACATCTACATAAGATTTGTTTACAAACTAAGTTTATTTCGAACATCCTCGGCAGCATTTACAGTATGCCTAATCACTGATATATCAACTACTGGTTGGAATACTTAACGTTTATTAACTAAACCGTGTTTGAACGCTGCATCAATCACTACGCTGTGTAATATTAGCGGTTCAGTTACTAAACCAGATCAAGTCGTTTCGAGTTGTTTACTTATACTAGACATTATACAAGCTCCCTACTTGAACACCACTGGTCGAGTGAGAGCCTATGACGAACTGTCATCGGAATTCTCTACTTCAAGTGGTGTCCGTCGGGGATGCCCGCTGTCTCCATTCTTGTCGTAGACATGCTTTTGGGGTTGAAATTATCCTCGTCAAATTTTTTAGCGGTAGACCTACCAGGAGGATCGCTTACTGACCTAGAATATGCCGACGACATAAATCTATGTAAGCATGTTCCGGATGCGGTTCTCATCCTCGAAATGCAAAATGTTGCTTCAAGATTGAGTTTCATCGGTACCTGAACTTGTGACAGGGAGTGAAGCAGTTGAGCGTGTCGACCGCCTCACTTATCTCGGGAGTCTCATCAGTGCTGATGGCCTGGTGACTGACGAAATCCCAGCACGGATACAGAAGGCTCGATCGGCTTTCGCCAATTTATGTCATTTATGGCATAGGCAAGACATCTGTTTGCTGACTAAAGGACAAGTGTACTGTGCAGTAGTTCGCTGTGAAACATGGCCGGTAAGAGAAGATATTCGTAGGTTACTAGTATTTGATCATAGATGTCTTAGAAGCATTGCTCGTGTATCCTAGGACAACCGTATAAGCAATGTTGTCCTTAGGGAATGAGTACTTTGTAAGGGTGGTAGCTCAACAGATGAAGTAATGAAACTTCATCAGTTGAGGTGGTTGGGACATGTGTTACGAATGCCTAACCACCGACTGCCTCGTCGAGCTTTGTTTTGTAGTGTAGGAGCACGTTGGAAGAAAGTTAGGGCGGCTAGACCAAAACATGGAACAAATCCATAAAGTCACTAACAAATGGACTGAGTCATGTTGGTAGATAAAGACTACCTAGTTGGGGTCCGCGAGACAAAAGTAACCGGTGATTAGAGACCTTGAATGAGATGGCTCAAAATCGTTTGCAATGGCGCAGGTGCATACACTTTCTGTTATCCCAAATCCAAATCTTCTAGATTCGTCAACAATTTTACCTTTGTCTTTCTAAACTTATCTCACTTAATTATACTTCTTAAATAATATCTTGGAGCCCTAATCTTCTCCTTTACCAGTAGTACTTCTACTATTTCTCTCTGTGCTAATGTGGTATGGCAATATGAACTGATGTACTCACGTACGAAGTTCTACGTTGCAGCTGACTGACTAGGCATTTTGGAAACTTGTACGGTTATTCTTATCCACTCCACCGACTTGAGTAGAGGTCGACCTTCAGCATAAACTGGGATCATGTGAATAGACGCTTCAACTAAACCACATTTAGCGTTTTACGGGTTCCCAAGCTACTCAAGTAGGTCAAGAACGCACCGGAACAATTATGTCTATACAGTTAGGCAGGAGATCAGTCTAGGCATCTGTCCATCCACAGATATAAGCTAACTTAACTTTCGAACATAAAAACTAATTCGCAGATTTTAGACAACTAAGAAAACATGAATATCTGAAATGGATTCGAAGATATAAAACTAGATATAATTTGGCAAAACAATGAGATTTCGAAACTCAGGAAATTCTTAAGAGATTGATTAACAGTAGCTGAAATACAAGCATCCATATGAATAAAAGCAGTTCAAGGTTATAGAACACCTCAACTTACACGCTCTACTGAAACTAGGCTTAGAAGTTTTCATTAATAGGCGATACCGCCAATAAACATGAGTGATTCGACTTAGCAGCTTCCTTACATCAGTATCAACTAAATTCAATCATCTTACTATTTGCCTTACTGTCTTGGTTAGAGTATGTAGTATGGTTTAAGCTAATCCAATCCGTATATGAACTCAGTACTTCAGTGGATAACGCGTTGATATTAGAAGCCAACGTCATTGGATTGGAGTGTCGTTGTTAACATTAACGCCGAAATGCAGTCGACTACTCCAAGATAAAACGACGTGCCAGTCCTAGATTCCACTGTTAGCAAAATCCTAATATTTCGTCTGTAAAACATGAAGTCGAAAAACCAGGGCCCTATGCATGGTAACATGTACAACGACAATCCACTTGTCTGATCACGTTGAACTAAGTTTAGGATTAATGATCTACTGTTTGTTTAGGTCAAATAAATGTAAATATAATGACCCAAACCCTTGACTTTCTATGCACTTCAATTCTAGAATGCATTAAAAAAGGTGTAGAATGTCGAGACATCAAGACGCATCACATTTACTTGCAAACTTTGGTTGACTACCAGATTTAGCGATCGGTGTATCATTGCGTCTTGGCTTGACGCAATCGTCTTCACAATATGCTTTATTTCTTGCGCAATCATGAAAGAGACGAAACATAATTACAAAATTAATTAAAAAGGGAAAGATCTATATTTGCTAGTTTCTCAGAACTAGCATGGAACTGCGTAGATGAAAATCACAAACTTACGCAGCCGTTATAGCTCGATAACGTTCCTGACCGGCTGTATCCCAGATCTGTGTTTTTATGGTTTTTCCTTCAATATTTACACTCCTAAATGCATTGATAAACATTTTATACTAACTCACTTTGTAGCGAACTCAACACCAATCGTACTTTTACTTTCCAAATTAAACTCGTCTCTTGTAAAACGTGAGAGCAAGTTACTTTTCCCGACACCTGAATCTCCGATCAGTACAACTTTTCAACTGGGTTAAGTTGCTCAATCCTTTATTACCTTTAAATAGATAATCGTAGTGATCCTCTTTACCAGGCGCAGAACCTCCATACATCGTCAACCCTCTCAAAGGCCTTGCGGAGTAAACTGTACGAGTTAATTAAAGTAGTGAAGCATTAAAAGACAGTGTCCAATCTTTTTCGTACATTATCCAAAATCCAATATTTTTGTGAATCGCTTGTATAAAGTAATTGATATTTTTCTACTCCATTCTTGTTGTTTTTATTACGGCTCCAGATATTTGGTAATTTCTAGTGGGTGGTAGTCTGATCACATTACTGAACTAATTCTATTTAATTGACAGTTTTTTATGAGTTTGTATGTCCCGTGATTTGCATGATTGCGTTGTCTCAAGGCAGCAGGCTTTCTGTGTACCAACAGCTGTTACATTACTGGGCCGAAGATCATTTAGCTGCAATGTTGAGGATAGCGAGGAGAAAAGTCTAATCGTAATAAGATTTCAGAACCAAGTAGACAAATGGATAAAATACTTCATTAACTGGTAATGAAGATTGTGCGAGAGGAAAGTGTAAGCATAAAATTAGAAACAAAGATATAAAGGGAGGTAGAATAAGTTAGTAATCTGAGGAAACGTCAGTAATGACAACCTGCAAGTTTCGAGACATGCATCAGGTACAGCTGGTCCACGAGGAAGATGGAATACCATGTTAGTTCGTGTTTATCAAGTCTCTTTTTAAAGCCGTTCTCTAAGCAGGCTGCATTCATAACTACTCAGAGGACATTCCTAGTTACTTGTGAGAAAAGGCATGAAAGAACCTGAGTGTTAGCTCCTTGGTGCCCAACTTTTCGTGGATTACCTTGAGGAATATGGTTTGTGATGCTTCGGTAACATAGTGTGCCTAATATATCCTATGCCATCACCAGATCACCTCTGGTTCCTCTGTACCTAGTTCTAGAGTCTATCTTTGTTAGGTAAGTTCTTCAACCCCATCATGCTTTTAGTCACTCGTTCCTGTATTCAATCCAGGAGATTTATGTCTCTTTTAAGGGCTGCGACGACGTTGTGAGCCTCAAGGCGCGGGTGTACGTATATGTTGAAGAGAGTTCAGAACAATTGTGGCAGAATGTTCATATCGTGACATTTCGACTAGTTTACGTTTAACCTGTTTTCCACTGCGAATTCCTCATATACTGTAAGATCTCTTTGAAGCTCAGTTGAATCCTCTTCGCTTCTAACGGACCAAAACTGCATGAAGTAATGTGTCAAAGGCTTTCGAAAAGTCAAGAAATATTATCCTTAAGGATACTTTTCGTCCCAGCAGGTTGTCCAGTTGTCCAATGCTAAGCCTTATCCGACATTGTCTTCGAACCTTTGCATTTCACCTGTTTCTCAATGCGAAGTAAGAACTACGGTCACAATCCTTATGGAGACTTTCCACTTGTGCCATGCCCCAGGATTTTCCATACTCACTCAATCGATTGGCGTTACACACATGGTCCGTCCGAAACTTATAACGGCTGTCACAAGTTGCCCAAGGAAGCTTCCTGAGGAAGTTGTACCCTGTTTGTTGAGATTTGGAGATGGAGTGTTGAAATCTTTCAATGGTATTTGACCAAACAGAAAGAACTGTAGATGTAGAATTACCTCAGTCATCTTATCTTTCTGGAGTTTATCACTTAAGGTGGGCCAGTTAATCCCTTCAATTGAGTATTTTGTGCCACTGGTATAGAAGCAACACCAGCATGACTCCGTCACGTCTGTTAGTTGAGTGCTGTGTGGTGTGACGGCTATGAAATGGCTTTTAAAAATGATAGCCACTTAATAATAATAGTAAGTCATACTCAAATAACGAACATGTTACAAGAGGCATGCCAATTTAAAGGCAAGATCAAAATGTTAAGATTGGCAACATATTTCTTTTAGAACGGTGCACAGTCACTGAAACACTTCATAAGATACATTGACTCCATGTAGATAGTCTACAATGTACAACGCGAATAACTGGCGCGAGTTACAAAAGTTGCGTATCGACCAGCTTCTTAACGACCGTGAAACAATGCAAGGTAGAGCCAGGTCTGCATATAAGAAGAGTTGATGAGGTAAATGTGCAAAGAACTGATTGATAAATTAACGGGCCCTAGGGTAAAGTAACCAAGTCTTCGGCAAATATCCAGACTAATACATAGGTATTGGAATAAAGTGCTGAAAAAAAGAGAAATAAAAAGAATTTTCTGCCACACGGACATGGGTAGATTGAGGTCATCGCCCCACGATCATAAATGCTGGTCAGATACACCACCCTCCCTCCTTCTGTGATGTTGTGCTCTCTAACGTTTAGCGGTTGGTTGTAAATAATGTTTTCTGGTCTACTCTCTATTTTCTGCACACCTTATCGGAATTAACTTTCTCTACTAGCTCCACGTTACAAGCAGTCCGGACAACTTTGCCTTCGGTATGAAAGAGAAATATCCACGTAGCATTCCACACTGATTTTTAAGTAAACTAATGGTATAAATTGTAAGATGTGTCAGGTAGTAGGTAGTTTGGAGATCGGAAGGACAGTGAGCTGGAAAAAGAAGAAATAGAAAAGAGAGTTGAAATAATGTTAAAAATTAATGAGAAAAGCGATATGTTGGTAAGCAAGCAAGGTGTTCGGATGATAATGAATTGTGGAAATAAAAATTCGTTAAACTGTTGATACTTAAACAAGAAGGAACTCACAATGTTACAGGGAGTTTCAGATCTTGTAATTGACAGTAGTTGATCAGCATCTACAAGCTTTTTAATTTGTCTGTCTACTAGAAATAAAAACTGAAACTGCTTTGAAGATATGAAAATAATGATTGGAATTTAAATGTAAGGAAAAGTCATGGGTAACACCTCGAAGGCGTAACCTATTACTGTTAGTAGGAGCAGGGTGATTTGTCTATGATTTCGTGATACCTGTGTGGATTGTAACGCGGGCATAAAATGTTCATAGTCTGTAGTTATTTTCTAAGGTTTATCTCAGTATTTGGTGTACCATAAAAGAGTGCTTAGGGACTTGGTGTGAGTTCCGAGATTAGTCGATAAATCTCTTTCGATTCTAACAACAACACTACTAGTTTCTTGAACTTAGTAATTGTGTCACAGATACGAACAGTAATTGGTAACCTGTTCCACAATAGACTGTATCGTATTACAAAGAAATCACAATGCAATGATTATTTTTGTTTTGCGGTTAATAGTGTATATGCATTGTTTCGAAGTCTGTAAGCAGTGTCGTGGTTCATATTTGGGCGGTATTTTACGAACGGGAGACCTTTATCAGTTTATAGAGAAGAATCAGGTTGTTTCTCAACCGACGGCACCTTAGAGGTTCCATGGAAAGATGTCTGCATCTTTCTGTGTAGTTGATGTTATGGCTCCACCCGAGCAGTCACCGGGTGAAGCTTCTTTGTATATTTTCTACTCGTATCTTGTCCATGATATTGATGTTTGAGAAGATAGGTGAGCAATATTCATGTGATGGCCTTGTACACATTACGAAGAGTGTAAGCTTAACCTCACTTGTCAAGAAGTTCTTATTTACAAACCTAACTAGTCGTCTGGATTTAGAGATAATAGTTGAGGCATGTTCTTCGAATTTTAGGCTTCTGGAGTAACGAATACCCAGATCATGAGCTGATGTAAGTGTCTGAACCCTTTTTTCTGAACCGTATGGAAGTGTCATACCTTGCAAGCTTACTTTTTCGTCTTCAATATCATGAAATAGCCATATTACTTTTCGGATTATCGTTGGGGACGTTAGATTCCCAGAACTCACTTGATAAAGGTTCTAATTTTGGATTTTGATGCTTTAGCGCATAGGCTGATTGGTTGACCTTGGGATTACTGTTTCCATCCGGAAACAGTACTGACGTTTCTATGATGTGTGCTAGAAAACCTCATATTTCCTGTACGCCTTTAGAATACAGTTTCTACGACATATCAATACTTTTTGATACTGTTAGTGGGGCCAATTTAATAATGATATATGTTAGTTATTTTATAACTAATTGTAGTTATGTCATAACTAACCAATCAGATTGGTTAAGTGCTCACCACGTTACCTAATCTGACCACTCTGTAAACTTTCTTTGTTGTGAATGATATATCGATCAAAGGATGTTATTATTTTATTTTATATAGATGTGACTCATGTTTTTTATTCATTTTCCAAAGACACGCTATACTGGTTGGTACGTTTGCTCATCTTACTTGATAATTGTAATTTCCTTATTTATTGTACTAATTTAATCGTTTTTTTGTTTAGAAACAAATACAGTTTAAACCCAAGTTTTATTGTTCTGATTTAATCTTGAATCTGTCAGCGGCGGTGTTTGCGTTTACGCTTTAGAATTACATCAGTAGGACAAATCAAATCCTACAGTATATAATAATAATAATAATAATAATAATAATAATTTATTCTCAAATAACAAACATGTTACAAGAGACATGCCAATTTACAGGCAAGATCAAAATGTTAAGATCCACAACATATTTCTTTTAAAACGGTATACATTTACTGAAACATTTCACAAGATTCATTGTGTTCTTAAAGATGGAATGTTCAATGCGAATAATTGGCGCAAGTTACGAAGGTTGCGTTACGACAATCATCTTATGGACTGAGAAACGATTCATGGTAGAGATAGGTTTGCATATAACAAGAATTGATGCGGTAAATGTACAAAGGTATGGTTGATATTCATCAGCTAATGATTTTACATGTTCTTGGGTAGGGTAACCAAGTCTACTGCAAATATCCAGACTAATATATGAGGAGTGGAATAAGGTTCTGAAAAAAGAGGAATAAAGAAGACGGGACGAGGAGCGGAACAGAAAATACGTTTATAGATAAAACAAAGGTATGTTTACTCAGACTTTTTTAATGTCATTACTGTACACCTGCACTTATGTAGGTTAATGAAGACAAATTATTGGTGAGATAACTATTGGGAAGTTAGTCGAAAGAATAGAGGAAATTCAGAAGTACCAAGTTGTTAGTAATAATGTTGATTTACAAAATATAATAAAGAGGCTCAGTGATATAATTTTTTGTTTTATATATTCTTTTTATTTTTAACTCTGCAGCTCAAGAAATTATGAATGAGCTCTTTTTTAGTAT